TTTAACGAGGTGTCCCAACTTGCGCCAGACTATATCCTCGTCCCTGAACCTCCGGCCCCTCAGCTGCTCAGGGAGGTAAATCGCAGGATGTGCCCTTATTGGTTCCCAGGTTCCCATATGGCTTTTACTCCTTCCCCAAAGGGAGCATCCTCCATGGTGATTAATCCACCAATAATTCCTCCTTTATTGGATCAAAGGTTCCCACCAGGAATCGAACTCCCCACGCTTGGTTTCAGAGCCCTCCCAATGTGATTGTTCCGCCATCTTGGATTTGAGAAGTTAAGGGGTCCATTTGGTAGATCTTTTGAAAAGTTAAAAGTTATTTTCTAAGATTAAGAAATTATTTTGAACATATTTGAATAATTTCTTGAAAAAACTTTAGATGATTAGATGAACTTTTAGAAGAAGATCATCTATAAGGATACTGAGCCCAGTATATAAGAAGTAGTGGGGGGGGGGGTTTGATTCAATTATGGAATGGTTTTTTTTTTTTTTTATTCAATCAAGGACTAGAATTTTAATAAGGGAATATATTTGATTCTTTGAGTATGTTAGGTACATGGGAAAACGGTTTGGTGTGCGCATGTGTCTTAAAACCGAGTCCAAATATTTTGGCCTTTTGAACATTGATTTTAACTTCTAACCCTTTTAAAACATATTTATTGTACGTTTGTTACGTTAAATTGAACAATTAAACAATAAATGACAGGTTCATGACTTTTTTTGTCACATTTAACGTATCAATTATTTGATTAGTATTCATTAAAAACTAGCTTAAAGTGATATCTCGTCATGCTTTTATGTCTTGTAATCTTTGTAAATTGGTGGCATTTTTATTCCCACTCTACAACTTTAAAAATAATCTTGAGCGGTTTAAGAAGTTCTACCAATCACTGAAATTTCCTTTTCACAATCTAGTGTGTCTCATGCCTTTCTTGATCTCTTTGCGATGCAATTGCGTGACATGGAAATAAAAATTAATTGGGGTTCCTCTTGTCATCTTGTGTATGGCCATTATAAATCCAAGAGAAGTTGTACAAGTCAAGTGGTACCATGACCATCCAATAATAAGCCTTTCTAATGGTTAGCGTTTCAATTAATTAGTTGTCTAATTGCTCTTAACTATTGGTAAGTCAAAGTAAATAAAGGCAAGATCTTGAGACCAATAAACCACCAAAATCATAGGCTCTCAACTATTTTAGAAGTCAAAAGCTGACCCTCTTACAACGTTTCCCTCCTAACACACTACAAGACCACTCCACCCACCATTTCCTTGAATGCAACACTCAAACCACTCTCTCATTAGCTTCTAATCCTCTCCATTTTCATTCATTCATTCTTCTTCTTCCTCAACCCTCTTGAATTCAACAAAATGCTTGGGAAAAAGATCGGTACAATGAAGAGACTAGCCAAGAAGATTAAGATTGTTGACAACGAGGGTCGTGATCCGTCACAAAATGAGTGTTTGCTAAGAGATAATTACGAAGCGGGAGGATCCCCATCATCCGCCAAGATACCACCAGGAAATTTTGCAGTCTACGTAGGTGAGGAGAGACGACGATTCGTGGTGCCAACCGGATACTTGTCTCACCCTTTATTCAAGATGTTGTTAGAAAAGGCCTACAATGAATTTGGCTTTGAGCAAAGAAATGGCTTGGTTGTACCATGCAGTGTGACTGCATTTCAAGAAGTGGTAAATGCAGTGGAATGCTGCAATGGGAAATTTCATTTTGGGGACATGGTGGAGGAATTTATATAGGCAATAGATTAGGGTAAAACTCTGCTTTTTTGAGTTTTTAGATTGGATTATATATATAGTTCCATGAATTAGCCTGTAACATATATATAGTTCATCCAAACAAATCATAAGACAATACGAAGTTTTGAGTTTGTATTAGAAATATAAATTTCTTTCTCCGAAGTTTTGAGTTTGTATTAGAAATATAAATTTCTTTCTCCCTTTTCCTTTTTTGGTGCTGTAGCAATGCAGAAGAAGCAACTGCCAGAATCCGCAATGATCCCACTGTTTTCTCATCCCTTCCCTTTTTAGGCTGATTTAAAATTCTCTCCTATTTTTTCTCCCCAGCTGAATTTGATAAGTCAAGAAAATATCATATTTCAGGATTGTAAGTACGGGGCCGTTTGAGCCCCATTATTTGTAGATTATAATAAGATGAATAGAGTTTTTTTGAAAAATGAGTGATTGAAAATTTTTTTATTTACGTGTAATATTGAAAATTGTGTAATTAAAAGTATGAGAGAGAAAATTTTAATTTAATGTAATGAGAAATAATGGGGCTCAAACAGGGTACAATCTATAGTGTATCAAGGGCCCGTTTATCAAAACTTTTGAAAAGTAAAAAACTGCTTCAAGACTTGCAAACTACTTTCTAATTCGTTTGAATAATTTTTTGAAACCCAACGGGCCTTTTCCCCTCGAATCAGACAAACTAATTTTTTGAAAGTACTTTATCAAGTTAGAAGAATAAGAAGCGGAAGCAAAATAAAAAAACAGAAGCCCTATCAAAGAGCCCTTAGCATACTCGAGACATTGTATTGGGCTAGCACCTACGTAGAATAAATGTCTAACATAAATTGTAGACTGAATCATTTTGTTCGAAGCAAGAATTTTACCTCGAAAGGGTCTGTAGTATTTTGAGTTCGAGATTCAACGGTATAGTATGGCCATGGCAACACTATAACTCACGAGAACAATCAAATGAACATGCTTCAAATTCTCTAGTCTCTTTGTGAAAGGACATTTATAAATGCAAAAATTAGAATTCTACAACTGGTGGGGACTCAAAAATAATAATAATAATAATAATAAAATAAATAAATAATATATATTTTTATATTTTTCCCCCTTCCAAAAGGAGTTTAGGTGTATATTGGGTCCCAACTTATCGAGCTTGAGACTTATTTAAGTTAATTTCATTATTGGATAATCATGTTTCATTATGCCAGAGTTTGTGCCGTACAATGGAAATAAAAAACGTTGAAATAATGTTGGTTATCCAGTTGTAAACAATTTTAAAAACAATTAATGCTCGACTTTTTAGGTTTTTTTTTTTTTAAGAACAATATAATTTTATTTATTTATTTATTATTATTATTATTTTTTTTTTACAATGGTACAGTTAATAGCTAATATAGAAACTAAGGCGACGTTTGATTTGTCGTTTTCTGGTTTTTATTTTTTGAAAACGTCCAAAACGCGTTTGATCACTCGTTTCTGAAAATACATTTCCGAAAAATAGGAAAAATTTATAATTGAAAACTCAAAACAATTTTTTTTTCGTTTTGAGTGTTTTCAGTTAAAAAGCTCAAAAGACGGAACGCTCAAAACACACTTTTTTTTTTTTTTTTTAAGGAATGCTCAGTAGTACTTTTAAAATAGTAAATTCACCAAGTTTAATATATTATCTGGTAATATATTAATATAAAATTATTATGTTGTACTAAATAATCAAATTAATTGAATAAATGTCATAAAACAATTTTTAAACATTTATTATTTATTATTTTATTTCTGTAGCAAGAAAAAATAGTAAATTCATCAAGTTTAAAATATATATTATCTGGTAATATATTAACATAAAATTATTATGTTTTACTAAATAATCAAATTAATTGAATAAATGTCATCAAACAATTTCCAAACATTTATTATTTTATTTTTGTAGCAAGAAAAAATAATAAATTCACCAAGTTTAAAATACATATTATCTGGTAATATATTAACATAAAATTATTATGTTTTACTAAATAATCAAATTAATTGAACACATGTCATAAAATAATTTTTAAACATTTATTATTTTATTTTTGTAGCAAGAAAAAATAGCAAATTTACCAAATTTAAAATATATATTATATGATTTTATATTAATATAAAATTATTATGTTTTACTAAATAATCAAATTAATTGAATAAATGCCATAAAAAAGTTTCTAAAAATTTTAGACCAAATGCATTTTCTAGTTTTCTGTTTTAAGAAAATAATCCTTTAAAACAAAAAACGTTTTCTGTTTTCAACAATGAAAACAGAAAACGATAACGCAAACCAAATGCACCCTACTTTTTTCAACAATATATAGAGAAACTAACTTTTTTGTGATAGCTTTGCTTGCGAATGCCTTTAAAAATTGTTTACATGCAATGCAGTAGCCAATTCGATGGTGGAAGAGAAGGTAATCGTCTACCCAGAACCCAAGTGCGCCAATTTTACAAACCTGAGCATTCACGTGGCAAAAAAATGAAGATTGGGAACTTAGTGCTACTAACTTTAATGTTTGGGGACCCAGCTGCCAAATTTCCTAAATTAAATCGATTTTCTAGCCCCTGTTTGATCCACATTCTTTGAAAATAATACATTCTTAAACAGTATTTTGACATCATTTCAACCACACATTCTTCAATAAAATAAAATTACACCAATTTAAAACTTTTCTTTTTTTTTTTACCACTCATTTTTCATCAATACACTATTCAAAAATTCATTCTTATCAAAAGAATGGAGCTCAAACAAGGGGTTAATATATTTTTGTTTCATGGAGAGAAACCATATAGGCTAATTCAATAATTCGTAACCATCATGATAGAGGTCATTTTCTAGTCAACGCAAGTTATAGCACCACGAATTTTTCCAAAATCTATTGGCGTCTCGATAATATCGACTTTTTTGCACGATCATCATGCTATTACTCTTAATCTCTAAGTCGTAGAATTTTATTTAGCCATTGTTTGAGTCCTGTTTCTTGATAATAGCTTTTATAAAAATGATTTTTAGTTTTTTGTACGATCATCGTGATATTAGCCTTAATTTAAGTCGTAGAATTTTATTTAGTCACTGTTTGAGTCCCGTTTCTTGATAACAGCTTTTGTAAAATAATTTTGTGTTGATAATGTGTTGTTAAAAAGTAAAAAAAAAAAAAAAAAAAAATTGAATTTACGTGTAATATTATTTTATTGAGTGAATTTTATTGAAAATAAGATTGAGAAAAAGAAGTTTTAAAGAATGAGCTCAAATAAAAGCTTAGTATAAAGCATTATAATCTATTCATTCTCTCTCTACACATATTTTAAGTTAGGGAAATGATTATTATTATTATTTTTTTTTTTGTTTTTGACGAGGAGAAATAGGTATTCATTTGTATGTCAAAGTAGAACAATGTAATATAAATTGACATCGGTGTGTGCCAAATCTAGATTGTGATGCAACCTATCAAATAAATAAGGAGCGAAAACGAAGCATTTATTTCATCATCTTCTTGTTGCATGTCTCTTTTTTTTAGCCCATCATTTTTACATGGGTAAACTATAAAGAAAGCACTTGGTACTACTTGAACCCTAAGTTTACATTTATACACACCTCAAAAACAAAAATTCGACTAAAATAAGATATTGCATTGTAAAGTTATTTAGAGGGTAACATTGATTAGGCCTTCTTATGTTTGTCTTACGTAAAAATTATTTATAAATGCTTAAGTTACTTCTTCATATGTTTTGAAATATAACCTCATTTTTAAAAAAAAATTATTTTTTTCTAAACTTATTTTCAATTACATTCTCTCTATAAAATATTTTGACATGTAAATCCCTTTTTTGACTTTTTTATTATCCAATAAATCACTGTTAGAAAATCTAATTTTTAATGGGCTCAAGCAAACCATCAGTTTGTCGGACCATTGATATAATAAGGTTACGAGCCATCACCCAATGTCACTTCGGCCCTTTAATATTATTTGGTCCAGCAAGGAACCGTCTGATTCGAATTTCTTTGGACTTCAGTTGAACGGCGGATCAAATCAGAAAGGGAGAGAGAAATTTCAAATCTCACTTTCATCCCGCTCCAATTTTCATGTTCTTTTCGATTTCGCACACAAAAGCACCCTCAACGACGAGTGTGATTTGATAAGTTTAATTCCAACAATAGAATCAAACTCACTATCTCATACATACTCACTGGCGAAAATGTCAAATCGACACGAGAAAGAGAAGGGCGTCAATGTCCAGGTTCTTCTCCGTTGTAGGTAAATGAATTTATTTTAATGATGTTAGGGTTATTTATGTTTAACGATGTTTTGGTACATCTAAAATTGTTTAAATTTTAAGGTTTTCTTTTCCGGGTTTTTGGATTGTATGTCAGTAAATATTGGAAATTTGCAGGCCGTTTAGTGGTGATGAGTTGCGAAACAAGGCGCCAGAGGTGGTGACCTGTAAGGAATACCAGCGCGAGGTTTCAGTATCGCAGAATATTGCTGGCAAACATTTTGATAGGGTCTTTACGTTCGACAAGGTAATCTTAACTAATTAGTTTAAAATCTAATGACTTGTGTATTCTTTATATCGTTTTTCTTCTATTTAGGTTCATGAATGCATAATTTTAATTTGTATGCATTTTGAAAATATGAAGCTCTTTTTTAGAATAAATACCCAATATAGTCCTTATTGTAGTGAAATAATTGTTCTGTGGAGTACTTCCTAAACTGTGTAAAGAGTTGCGAAAACCAATTGTTGATCAGTTATATCGGTTTAAAAATGTGAAAAAATAGTCTCTTTACGGTGTTGAAATGCAGCAATCAGGCTTCTGATTAAACTGTGCTAATGCTTTTGTAGCTACAATTTGATAATTATCCTTGTATTCAGGTTTTTGGACCGGATGCACAACAGAAAGATTTATATGAGCAAGCAATTGTTCCCATTGTTGACGAAGTCTTGGAAGGCTTTAATTGCACGATATTTGCCTACGGACAAACGGGCACGGGAAAAACTTACACGATGGAGGGTGAATGTAAAAGGTCGAAGGTACGATATATTGACAGGTTGTACTTATCATTTTAATTTGTAATTGGGGTTCTCTGTTGCATTTTGATCTGTGGTTTACATTTATCTCAGAGTGGGCCTAATGGGGAGTTGCCACCTGCAGCTGGAGTCATACCCAGAGCAGTAAAGCAGATTTTTGACACATTGGAGGGTCAAAATGCTGAATACAGTGTGAAAGTCACTTTCTTAGAGCTATATAATGAGGAGATTACAGACTTGTTAGCTCCTGAAGATATATCTAGGATTTCAGCGGAAGACAAACAGAAAAGGCAATTGCCACTCATGGAAGATGGGAAAGGAGGTGTTCTTGTTAGAGGACTAGAAGAGGAGATTGTCACAAGTGCTAATGAGATATTCACTTTACTTGAAAGGGGCTCTGCTAAACGTCGGACTGCAGAAACCTTACTAAATAAACAATCAAGGTCACTTCTTTTTCCTTGCTTTAATAGTTAAGTTGTTTTTTGTATTTTTACTTTTTAAAAAATGCTCCATTTTTCTTTTGGTTTCAGCCGATCACACTCTCTTTTCTCCATTACAATACACATTAGGGAAACCACACCTGAAGGCGAAGAATTAATAAAAAGTGGCAAGTTAAATTTGGTTGATTTAGCTGGTTCAGAAAACATATCTCGCTCTGGTGCGAGGGAGGTAATTTTCATTTCTGACCCATGTAAATTTTTGATATGTTATGCAGTTATGGAGTTTTATTTGTGCTTCCTTAGGATTCATCTTGTTTTCTCAGAGATTATGCAAGTTTTAGTTTCTGCTCACATTTGTTGTGATATTGCTATCTGAATTATTCTTTGCTTCATTCTTTTTATTCGCTGAATTTTATTTATAATATTTTCAGAGTCGTGCTAGAGAAGCGGGAGAAATAAACAAAAGCTTGCTTACATTAGGACGAGTGATTAATGCTCTTGTGGAGCATCTTGGCCATATTCCTTACAGGTTGAATATCCATACAAAATTTACATTTTTCTTAAACCTTGTTTTCTTGATTGCTTATTTTTCACCTGCTATCCTAAATCTGTTAAGAGATAGCAAGATCACACGTTTACTTCGTGATTCACTGGGGGGAAGAACCAAGACCTGCATTATTGCAACAGTGTCTCCAGCAGTTCATTGTCTCGAGGAAACATTGAGCACACTGGATTATGCTCACCGGGCTAAGAATATAAGGAATAAGCCTGAGGTTTGTTGCAGATATTTTTTTTTTCCTCAAAAAATCATGACTCATTCTCCTCTTCCTCTTCCTTTTATTTATGCGTACTTTAAGATTGGGATATCTGGTTTTTAGTTTTCTATGAACTAATTAGGTCCTGATACTTTTCTTCTATGGTATTTCACAGCCACACGTCTCTTCTAAGACTAAGAATATGATTTATACCTATACTTTAAGGTTGTAATATTTCATCATATTTTCATTAGATGATTAGAAAGTTCATAATTGAAGCTTATGCCATGGTTCAATCAATTTTTAATTTTATTGTTTTATTGATGCAATGGGTTTTGTACTTTTGAGGGATTTTGCATGTAAACTAGTTGTTTTCCATTAATAAAATTAGTTTAGTTGCACTGTGGCAGATATTTAATAATTTTTTCATGCAAGTATCGAACAGAATGATGTTTGAGATAAATGCTTTTACATTTCTCGAGTGTAGGTTTCAAAATCTTTGAATCAGAAGTCAGTTTCATTCTAGATTTGATTAGTTTAAGTGGTGTTCTTCATTGATTTGATTGTAGAGAGCTTAGCAGAAATGCAGTTATTTCAAAAAGATCAAGTTTAGAGATCTTCCTTCAACTTATCCATTAATTCTTTATCAACTTGTAGGTGAATCAGAAGATGATGAAATCAACACTTATTAAAGATCTCTATGGTGAAATTGAAAGGCTTAAAGCAGGTATAATCCTTTACTCCATAGTGTGTTGAATTCATAGGCCATTAAATCTGGTTGGGGAGTTTGGAATTTCTAATCTCATTCTGTTACTTTTCACAGAGGTTTACGCTGCACGGGAGAAAAATGGAGTCTACATTCCTAAAGAGAGATACTATCAGGAGGAAAGCGAGAGGAAGGTACTGATCATTGGATGCTGTGCACTTTTTTTTTTTTTTTTTTTAATACCAACTCAGTTCTTTCGGAATCTTTTCAAACTTTTGGATGTGCTGAGCAAAGCCTTTAGGCAGGATAAATACTCTGATAGGAAATAAATTATCTCGTGAACCTTAGATTTGAGACTGCTGTAGTAAAATATATTTTTCCCATTTTCAGGCAATGGCCGAGCAAATAGAACAAATGAGCGTTATGATTGAAAACCACCAAAAGGTCAGTTTACCTCATGTTGCTTGCACAGCAAAACAAATAGTTATGATTGCTTCCGAATTGTTGACAATATTTGATTATATGGTATGCAGCAACTGGGGGTATTGCAATTTAAATATGATGGTCAAGTTCTACATTGCTGTGATTTGAGCAACAAATTAGATGCTACCCAAGTAAGTTGTAGATATACTGTGCAAAGTATTGTGATATCATGAAGAGTGCTTATATGAAGCTGTTTGCAGAAAGACTTGAACCAAACTAGCAAACTGTTGACAAACACTGAAGAGGAACTAAAAAGATGCCAATATGCCGTCAAAGAGCGTGACTTTATCATATCTAAACAGGAAAAAGCAGGTATATATGACTAGACTTGTATTTGAGAATCTATTCAATGTGATCACTAAATTGTGTTGTTGAAAAAATGGATAGAAAATGCACTGGCTGATCAAGCATTTGTTTTACGTGCTGATTTGGAGAAAACACGGAAGGATAATACGTCATTATTTCTTAAGATTGGTATGCAGTCTCACTGGTTACTTCAACTTATAAATCTTATTATCCTGATTTGTGCAACTTAGTTCCGTCAATTGTGGCTTTTGTAGCGAGAGAGGACAAACTGAATGCTAATAATAGGTCAACCGTGAGCAATTTTCAAGCAGAGCTCGCTCAGCAGCTTGGCTCCCTTTGTGATACACTGACCATATCAATGTCTCGACAAAGTGATCACCTTCAATGTGTTGAGAAACTCTGTAGCACTTTTCTAGAAGTACTTGAGAAGGTTCTTTAACATTTTAGCAAATTATTTTCTACCATGTATGCTTTCTGCTCAATGTTTTTTTTTCCCCTGTTTTTTTTATCGTGTTTTCCCAAAATCTATTTACATTCCATCTATTTATTCTAACACATTTTGCTTCTTCCTTAAAATTTTACTCATAGGCAGCTACAAATTTAAAGAAGAAAGTAAATTCTTCAAGGGTATTGTATATATCTCACTTTGAGGCTGTACAAAATGTGGTGCGGCTGCATAAAGCAAGTAGTAATGCTGCCTTAGAGGAAGTTTCGACTTTAGCTTCTTCAAATTCACGCTCCATTGAAGAAGTAAGGAACATAAGTTGTTTTCTGTCTGACTGAACTATTTTACCATATTTTGAATGTATTTCTCACATTTCCCTTTTAACAATCTTTTTTTTTGTAGTTTTTAGCTGCAGGTGCGGTCGAAGTAAATTCAGTTTTTGATGATCTTCAGGATGCTTTATCAAGTCACCAAGGAGAAACAACACATTTGGCTAGAGAGCTTCGCCAGGTTTGCATATATACTCTACTAGCATCTGGGTGAACATGTTGCTTTAAAATTTCATGTTTTCCAGTTGAATGAACACAGAGAGATTAGTCAATAATTTAGTTCTTTTCAAAAGTTTGCAGTGGCTAGTTATTTTATTATTCAACAACTTGTGGTTTATTTGTCCGACTTTTCAATGAATCCTTAATTTTGATTTACTGCAGAGATTTACTTCTAGTACTGAGAACTTGATGAATACTTCAGAAACCATTCATGAGTTTCTTGATAAGCTTTTGGAAGAATCGAAAAGCTTCGAAAGGCATGCAACTAAGGTGGATGAAATTCAGTTGAAAAGTATTGCTGAATTTCAGAAGGCTTATGAGGTATATTCTACTAAAATGTCCATTCCAAAGTGTAACGTTCTCTTATTTTACTGACATTTTAATTTTAATGCCTTCAGGAAAAATCGAGATCTGATGCTGAGAAGCTTATTGCTGATATGACCTCTCTCATATCAGGTTGCATGCATCGTCAGAAGGAGATGGTATGGAATTTTTTTTTTTTTTGTTACTCGGATGTATTCTTTTTCTCCTATACATATCTAAACCGTAAATGACAGGTGGATGCAAGGCTTGGAGATATCAAGGAAAGTGTGATTGGAAATAAGAAGTTTATAGATGGGCACGTTTCGTCAATGGAAGGAATTGCAATGGACCTAAAAAGGAAATGGCAGGATTCTTTTAAGCTAGCAGAGAATAACTTCAAAGATAGTGCTGACTTCTCTGCTGCCAAGCATTGTCGTATGGAGTTACTTTCACAGAAATGGTGAGAGCATGCTATGTTTTCAACTTATAATCTTCCCTTTTGGTTTTGAAGTATGCAACTCCTGTGATTCACTACCTAGGCCCTTTTCTCCCTTTGTCTTGCCATTGTTTAGTTTTGAATCTTAAGCATATTCTCTATCCAGTGCAAACACTACAGAAACAGCTCTGAAGCAGTGGCAAAGAGCACAAGAATCTTTGAATGACATGGGAAGCCAACATGCATCAACAATTGCTTTACATGTTAGGTTTGTCCATATACTTTGGAAGCTTTTTTCGGTTGGTAGTTCCCAATAGGTTCTGAAAGATGAACAACATTCAACCGCTGTTTTTGTATTTAAGCTTGTGGCACATGTTTTTCATTTCCCTTCGTATTTCCTGGTTTCAAATAGCTGCAACTGACTTTTGTGTGATGCTTATCCCTTTGAGAGCCAACTTTGTGTAATCATATCCAGTTGTGTTTTATTTCTATTTGTTTTAGGAGCATTTGTGATAGTAATGAACAACATGATACCGAAATTGACTCTGCAAGGGTTGCAGCTGAAGAAGATATCACGAAGAATGGTGAAAACATTATCCATAGTCTCGGTGGTAAGTTTTCTCATTCATCTCTAATTCTTCCTTTCCTAAATTCTGCACAGAATTTTGTACCAAGTATAATTCGGTTTTCATATTCCTTTGAGATACTTGCTGATAGTGTTGCAGATAAGTAAATTTTAGTAATCTTTTATGTTGCTGTTTCAGTCATTGCATTGTTATATCAACTTGGTTGGGCAAATGCCAAAATACTGTTAATATGCTATCCTTTATTTCCTCGTCTCTCTCTGCTTATGCGTTCTTGTGTTTTGCTCTTGATAATAATGAGTTTGCTCTCATGTTTTCTCAACATTCCTCTGAAGAAATTATAGTCCAAACTCCTGTGAAAATGTACTATATATGTATTGGGGTTACAATGAAAAAGAGCACATAGGGAACCCTTCACTCAGGTTATACATCACCATTGCTCTATGGTTAACCCATTATTAACGTGGCTATTGAAGATGTTGTAATTGATGATTAGTCTCTGTAGCTTCTGAATTTCATTTTTTCTTTTTCATTTCCTTTTTGTTTCTGCTAAGAATTCTTCTAGTTTTTCTGTATGTTAATCTTTCTCTTGGTTGTTGGAACAAATTAAATGATTAAATATCTTGTGAGGACTTAAATGGTAAACAATATGACAGTCATTTGACACTAAAACTCTCTGATTTTGATATCTACTTTTTTCTAGCTTGTGATGGTATAATATATGATCTTGTGGTCTAGAATATATAGCCCATCGTATGATATGGCATTTTATTCTAGGCATTCTTATGTGGAATCAGTGCATCATATTACAGAACGTGCTTTCATTTGTTAAGTTAGTTTTTTGTAGATTTTATTTAACCGATATTTTCATGGAAAAGTTAAAAGAAATTTAGAACCAGTTCCAGTTATAAGCAACAATTTATTGCCTGAAAAATCTTAATTCATATTGGTTGAAAATGAAAGAAAAAGGTAAAATTATATGTAGAGATTGACGCATAATTTATAGAACTTTCCAGTGGTCTGATTCATTGGTTGTAGTTAATATAGTTGCCACTAATTCAACATCACATCAGCAAAAACACAGGTATTTTTTTTCCCAGAATTTTTGTGTACTTAGAGTTGTACAATATATCAATAGGGTCACAAAATGATTGATGGTAGTGGAACCTACTAAAATAATACAATTTGCGATTTGATTTCTGTATAGGTGAACTTAAGTGCGTATTTAGCTAGCTAAATTTTTGAACTCATATAGTTAAATAAAATATATACTTCATAATGAACCAAAGGTTTTCTGGAAGGGTTTAGCATTAGAAGGTGGTTTTGATAGGCCTACTTGTTGGACTCACTATGTCAAAACAATTATTATTTTTTTTTTAAATTTACTTGGAATCGTTCAATTGATGTCAATTAAATTATAATAGAAGGTTATGAATACTCTATACCCGTTTTGATGGCTGTTACCTTTTTATTTATTTATTTTTTTTTTGTACTTGCAGGTATTTTAGAACAAGAGCGAGTATGTATATCAGAAATTATGACAGCTTCTGGAGCCCATTTAGAGACGTTGGAGAGCCTTCAGAAAGATCATTCTCAACAATCGGCTTCAATTGAACAGTATGCTATTGATACTTTCAGGCAGAATTACATGGTATGCCCTATTTACATTTTGAATATGGTTGAAATTGTGATATAGCTGTTGCTTTAAAATTGAAATGTTGAATCGGCACTAGTCCTCTTGTATTAATTTTGTATATTAACACAGCCTTTTATTTTCTAGCGTCTTTTCTTGGTCAAGTTCTATTGCAGCTTCTTGGTGTTGTATCTCGTACATCTTATGTTATGTAATTCTCCCATATACCGCTAAAAATGCTATTCCCTTACATTTTTCTTTATTAAAATCCCGATTTTCTATTCTGAACTTTGGGAAGTTGACAAGTTCAGAATCTTGGAACGATTTGAATTATTTGATGGGAAAAACTCGCAAAATTGCATTTTAGGTTTAGAACTTTCGAATCTCATAGAATAGCTGGCCCTAGCCTTTCCTTGAGTGCTGAATTATGCGCTTGTTCTGGTATCATAAGTCATCAGAGGTATTGTACTATTATAATTTATTTCTCTCTCAAGTCAGTTGATAATTTTAGAACTTCTCTTTGCAGTCTGCTTTCATTAGAAATTAAAAAAACGTGCTGAAGTTTTCTATTTTTCTATCTGTTTTTGTACATTGGAATTTTCATATGGTTTCTGGATCTATAAATTTATGGTCTCAATCATTATTAACTATGTTGATGAAACTGCCCTTCTAACTTGAACTTTTTTAATTTGTGTTCAGGATTACGAGCCAACAGGCACTACACCCGTTAGGTGTGAGCCGGACATTCCCAGCAAGTGCACCATTGAATCGCTTCGAGCCATGCCTATGGAGACCCTACAAGAAGAATTTCGGGAAAACCTTTCGTATGAATCTTTTAAAGTAAAGGAACTGAAGCCGTCCCTTATTCCTCGTTCTCCACTTTCACAAATTAACTCATAATTGTGCATTTGCTGTTAAATGCATGATGTTTATTCAATTTTCATATTTTGTACTTGTCATGTATACTGTTACTCCCTCTGCAAAATACATGGAATGCTAGATGGTTGAAAGGCTAGCAATTCCAATCCCTGGTGCATAATGTTGTAGGATTATCAGATTGATTAATGAATCCCTGCTCGGGATTTAGCTAAGTTTGTAAATGGAGGTAGAATGGCTTATCACTGTTTGTGTTTATTTGTAATATACAGATTGTTGTCGGGTATGTTGAGTACTTCATGAGCTAAATGTTTGCAAGTACTTTGTACGTGATAGCGTAAATAAATAGCAGCAACTTCATTTTTATTTGGTTTATAAGCGTTATTCTTGCAACAAGACTTAGGTCAATGATGTTCATGTACCTTCTACTTAATATTTTAAGCAATGTGTCCATGGCTGTTAAATGCATATAATTACTTGCGACTAAAAAATTTCTTCTCTCTAAATGTGATATATTTGATTGCAAAAATTAGAAAATGAATTTCAGAGAATTGAATTATTTAGAAATTATTTTTTTGGGAAGTGTAAATTATTGTGTTTGATTGGTATAATTTAATTTTCACGTGAAAAATATTGAAATAAAAGTGTTTTTTGTTGTTCGTTTGACTTTGTTTTACATGAAAATTGTCAATTAAAGGAATATAATTTATTGATATTGGATATGAAATTTATTCCAATTGCCAAAAAATAATAATAATAATAAAATAAAAAAATTATTTATATTTTGGTGTTCCTTTGACTTTGTATTGCATAAAAATTATTAATTAAAGGGAAATATTATTTTTCAATAATTTTTTGAATTTGTTTCCATTACAAAATAATAATAATAATAATAATAATAATAAAAAAATAGATTTTTAAAAAAAAAAAATGCTACAATAACTTGGAATTTCAATTCTCACAATTTTGGTGAGAATTGCAATTCCTTGAATTTATAAAAATTGGCTTATGTGGCACCAAATAGGGGTGGGCGCGGATCGGTTCTCTTTAGAACCGAACCGAACCAAAATTTTCGGGTATCTAATAAATGGTGCTGTTGGGTCTAAATATAATTATGGAACCGTTCGAGTTCGGTTCTGTTCGGTTCCCTTCGGTTCTATACTATAATTAAATTTTTTAACATTTATAACAATATTATATAAATACAACTAATGATGCATTCAATAGTTTTTTGGAATGTCAGAGACTAGTAGACTATCTTGTTCAAATGATCGCTACGGTCAAAGTTTCGATCGGCGGAAGTCACATCGTCGGCTGACGATTGTATAGGTTTTGGAGAACCAAGAATCGAACCGTACCCGTCAGTTCTCAATTCAGATACCCGTTCGAGTATTTAATTTGACAAGAACCATCGGGTTCGGTTCGATCGGTTCGGTTCGGTTCGGGAGATTTGCCTAGCCCTAACACCAAATATGAAAATCCAGTTCTAGGGGAAAAAAAAATGTCTACCAAACAAGGTTAAATTGGAAGGTAGAATTCCAATTCCATTTTCCGTAGAATTCTACCTCCAATCAAACACTACCTTAGTGTGCACTTGATATTTACCAACCTAGATGGATATGATAGAACATGTTCATCAAAATGTAAAGCTATGAAGTATGTTTTTGGAAGCGTGGGTGGGACAATGAATATCAGTAGCAGTTAATGTGGGAATGAGGATTATATGAGCCACATAACATTAAAAAGCAACATCAATTTCTCTTTTTTTTCATGCTCTCTCAAGAATGGGTCTTTTTTTTTTTTTTTTTTTGGGGATAGTTGCGAAATGGAATTTTATTGAGTGGAAGATAAAAGTTTGATGTCAAGATTTGAAGTTGGGCACTTATTGTTTTGGCATATCTTGATGTCCACTGTAATGCAACGTGTATCTCTTGAAATATTTCGTTTGTGTTGTGCAATTTCAATAATGTCTTCAAACAAGTGGAAGTATTCTATTGAAGAAATTTGTGGTAAGAGATATTATAGACAGCTCCCTACTTTCTTGTGATAGTTATTTGTACAGCAAATTTGCAATTTTAATAAGAAGCGAACTACAAGTACAGAAAATAGTTTGCCAGATAACTTACAAACCACATACAGCCCGTGAGGTGGGTGGTTATATTTTTTCAATATAAAACTCACATGGGTTTGGATTTCTTCCGTGAGAAAAATTCTGTACAACCAGAATTTCTCTTTTAATAATTTTGTTATATGGTATGTTGGATAGAACCATTTGTACATAGTCTTTTGCCAAGATTAGCAAACCAAGTGTAAAAACTGTATTGGGTGTCGAAAAAAATAGACAAGAACATACTAATTGTATTGCGCCGCATACTCCTTGTAAATAATCCTGGATGTTCTTTACCTGTACACCAAGCAAAATTCAATTAAGAAAGTTTTCAAAAAGTTAGATTTATTTATTTTTTTATTGTACAATGTAGTTAATTTTGACATAAAAGCAATTGATGAACGTGTAAAACTTAATTATATTGTTTAGTTTTCTCCTATGTGGATCATTGACAGTGGATTGGGGGTGGTAGCCCTTAAGGCAAAGCTTATGGGAATTTCTAGTTGGCGGGCAACTAGCCAAGACTTCAGTTCACTAGAACGGTTTCTTATGGGAGCAAGGTAACGACGGCAGTTAAGACATTAGGTTCACATGTATTTTAGATTGCTATAGTATTTTCGCTTTATATAAAAGATACTATGAAATTTTTTTCTTTGTAGAAAGAACAAGATAACTCTTGAGTTCAAAAACAAATTATATATTTTTTTTTCGTTTCAATTATAGTGAAATCTAGAGGTGATAAGTAGATATAGCTTTCGAAATGAGAGTATATCTCTCTAAATCATTTTTTTTTCTGCTTTCAGTTTTATCATTTATTTTATTATCTTTCGTGATAGTATGAAATTAAGAATTTAATCCACAAACAATTTTCAAATATAAAATAATGTATTTGTTATGACTTTATACATTGACCATTGTGGATGGTTATTTGCTGTCCATTCGAAACATGCAAATGAAAAAACAAATTGAAAATTAGGGCCATATTTTCCCCATGATTTGGAGAAAATAGAAATTCAACTTATAAGTGATAAGTTCCATTAGTACAGATCCATTATGCTAAATAAGCGAAAAGGTCATTGCCACTTCACTGAATTTTTTTTTCTTGCTTTGTTAATTTTGGAAGATGAGTTGACAATGCATCCCCCTCCCCCCATCCCAACACCCACAGAGACACAAATCCACCTACCAGAACCCTTTAACAAAACAAAACCAAGCAAACAGAAATAAAGACAAAAGTAATTGACAAAAATAGTGCCATAATATACAGGTCATACAATAAAAATTATGTTTTTTCTGTTAAATTTTCAGTTTTGACAATATTTTTGTAGGTCTATTCTCAAATATTCAGTTTACAAGTGTCATATTCATGCTATATACATTCATACTATAGAGATTTTTGTCATAAGATTTCGAAGTTTTACCCATTTTTGAATATAGATAGTTGTCCAGACATTACATCTCAAGAGTTAAAAATTAGATGAAAATAAAGTTGCATGTCAGCTCTATGCGCCTGCTTCTCTACATCTTTCTAATTCCAATTGGGTGCCCAGTGCCACCCTACCTCTCAAGTTTTCAATAGAAAGGAGTCGAAGGAAACATCACTGATCTTCACTCTTTCTAATTGATAATTACAAATAATTAACTCCTCCAGCAAGTTGTACCAAGGATGAATATGATGCACAAATGCTTTGCAGCCAAAAGGGGGGTTCTACTGTCCAAGGTGGGGTAAGACCATTTGATTTGGGCTCTTGACATTGGCTTCAGAAGATCTGAAAGAATACACTCCTGTCTTCTTCAGAATTTTTGAAGCTAAATGCAAGCACGTAATTCTTATGTGCTCTGGTGCATCAAGGTTTGTTCGTATATTTGTGTTTAGAAAAAAGGAGTAAAAATAGTATTCCTGTACTGTACATAGTTACAATCTAAATTTGGCCTACACATTTGTTCTATCGATACAGGTCGAAATCTTTCTCTACCATTTACTATTTGTAGCTTGATGAATGGAACAAAAAGACAAACAAGTATCCATTGAGTTGAATATCAAATTTCTTACGAAAGAAAGCGAGTCTTTTGTGTCCATTCTTGCAACTTGTCTCTAACTATATTTTTCTTTATCTTTTCAACAGTTCATCCTTGAAGGACGGACCATACAAACCCTCGTTCGCAGGATTTGTTGGTGTAGACCTAACAGACAAGAAGCTTTCTCTTAGGAGTTCGGTACATATGTCTAAAAACTTTTTGTTTTAATTTTACACTATACAATACTATCTCTTTCTTGCATAGGATTTTCAGTTATAAGGGGCTCCCTCTTTGCAGATTGATCATTCCGATTCAGTAGTGGAAAGCCCTGGTGCTGGAGGAAAGACATGCATTACATCTAGGGTTTATCCTACTTTAGCTATTTATGAGAATGCTCATTTGAATGCATGCAACAATGCCACCGAAACAATCACAATTGAGAAATTGGATGCTTGGAGCATGAACATTTCTCGGATGAACTAATAAAATATTCCAAACGTTGCAAGATGAGGAATGGCATGACTAGAGCTCTGAGATGTAGAAATTACTTCTTTTACCCTTTAACTCCGTGGTTAAATTTTTTATAGTGCATCTACATTGACACGAGGTTAGGTCAAATGCCCGCTTCTAAGCTTGTATCTTACTTTGTATTCAATGAGTAAATACTTCTCTCTTGCTAAAAAAATCCCAAAATGACGAGCAATATGACAAGGGTTCACGAAACATAGAATCAACTTCTTTTACTCTTTAACTTCGTGGTTAAATTTTCTATGGTCTATCTACATGGACTCGAGGTTAGATCAAATGCCTGCTCCTAAGCTTGTATCTCATTTTATTTTCACTGAGTTGATACTACAATCTCGCAGTGATTCGACTAAAAGTCACATATGATGACTAGTATGACTAGAGCTTATAAAACACAGATCTACGTTTTTTATTCTTTTTAGTCTTCAACTCCGTGGTTGAATTTTCTGTAGTCTTACATATACTCGAGGTCGGACCAAATGCTTGTTTTTAAGCTTGTATCTCATTTTATTTTCAATGAGTAAATACTTCACTCTAGCGGTGATTTGACTAAAAAAATAGTCATCCTGAACTAAAGAAGGTAAGTTATCTCAAAAGGTAATGCATTATGTCATCCACATGTATATTAAATTAACGTATGTCAATATAAACTGCTAGTGAAAGTATGATATATCCCTACATCAATTACAATATTTAGGGTCATACGTACGAACGCAGATGAAGAAAAAATCATGGCTTGGAAGTGTTACTTTATAAATATATAGCAGAGCTCAATTTTTTAGAAAAGCAATTAGGATCACGTATTCTCACTGCCGCTGCAAATCTACAAGGAAATCATGGATCCTAAACTAATACACGTAACATCCCACGATTTAAAAAGTTACAACTCAAGGGAGGTTTGGCATGTTAATAAACTGACTTGAAGCAACAAACGATGAGCAAGTACAAAGTTTAACTAGGAAATGACCAACTATGCAACTGAGAAAGTATCAATGCTGAATAATTAACACCGTCAAAAAAACTCATCAGGATATAAATAAATCACACCAGCAAAATCCTCTCATAATTTGTTGGTGACAAGCTGCTCAAACGTCAAACAAAAATTATGTTTGAACTACATTCTTTTAAAACATGGAACATGAGAACAATAAAACTGCAACCAGAGAAGTCCGAGCAAAAGCAGAGTATGATTGGCCACAAGGAAAACTCACAGCCTCCTTCCCCTTCTGCCACCCTTTCTACGAGTGCTGTCAGTGGGAATCGGAGTCACATCCTCTGAAACGAGAGTAGAAATGATTTATAAATCGTGGAAGAAATTTTTAGATTGGACATCTATTCAAGTGTAACAATTATTGATTTTTATTCAAGAGTAGAAACTTTTATTCCAACAAATATTGATTTTACACAGTGAGTGCAAGCATAATCTATCATCAACAATAATTCGCAGACTTGTACATAATGGATTCAAAGCAAGGTCAGTGTCATGTGAGTGTAATTTATATCACCAATTATAGTTATACAAGGGCTAAATAAGTTTTGGGGATTTGATACCTATACGACCAATTTTCATTCCCGAACGAGCAAGGGCTCTAAGAGCAGACTGGGCACCAGGGCCAGGGGTCTTTGTCTTGTTCCCTCCAGTTGCACGAAGTTTAATATGAAGAGCATTAATGCCAAGTTCCTGCAAATAACCACAAATTTAATTTTTCTCTTCATCACCCTCTGACAAAACTCTCTAAGATGATAAATACATGACAGCAATAAAAAATATGGACTTGGATAACATAGTGTACGGATTCAACCCTCCCCTATAATGCATCGATATTAGAAGAGAAAGGCTTTTACCTTGCATCTTTGAGAGACATCTTGTGCTGCAAGCATAGCTGCATATGGGGAAGACTCGTCCCTATCAGCCTTCACCTTCATGCCACCTGAAGTCAGAAGGGTAAATGCATAATACAAAAGCAATTTAGGCATGCTAAAGCTCATACTCGACCTAATTTCAATGTGCTCATGAGGTACAGTATCACTAGAGCAACAGAAATAGAAAACACAAATGAAAAGAAAAATACCCTGAAAATCAACTACACGACAACAGCTTTGGGTTACATGACAGAAAAACAAGTAAAAAATTAAGTGTGCCAAACAGCATTAGTTTTTAATTCATCATCTACAACAAATAGACATCAGTCCCACATGCAGGAAATCATCCACGAGGCCCTAACTAAGTTTCATTCAGGGAAGAATTTTCAATGACAGACTCCCTCTACTACAGAGTGAATGAAATATCAAAGTTGGAAAAAACTAAAAGAACAAGTAATGATCACCAGTCCTTGGCTAAACTGCAATTATCATCTAAATCCATAGTCTAATACAAGCAAGAGATCATATTTCCATCAACAAAAATGACGAAAACTTATAACTGATAGGTAAACAATTCATCCAAAATAGATAATAGGCAGTCACAATCCATTACTACTCTTGAACCAACACTGAGACTATACACAACAGTGAAGTAAGAAATGTGTAGAATAATTATCACTGCAATCATAGAATCTACAATCAAAACCTTAAGCAAACGTACCGGTAATGCGAACCATGGTTTCCCTTCCGGACAAATCAGTCACGTGCTGCACAATAAGGTAACAGTTAAGTCAATTACTTTCCTTTCCGAACTTCTCAAACGATCATCATACACACAAATCAAGAATCATTACTCACAATGAAGGTGTCATTAAAGGAGGCAAAGATGTGGGCCACACCAAAAACAAGTTCCCCATCCCTGGTAGCAGGTCCAAGGGTAACATTTTCTTCCTTGGGCTCTCTGGTCTTTCTCCTTGACTATTAAACCCAGAAAAAGATGATTAAATGTAACATTTAGTACATTAGATAAAAAAAAAAAAATTAAGAAGTCTAGGAAAACCAGGAAACATAATTTTTCTCTAATCGTCATACGTACAAATAATAGAATAGACGTTCTTGATTAAATCAACTTCGTGAAGCAACACTAAAAAACCTCAAATTTTCATCTCAGATTTATAAATTCGCTAAATGCAGTACTGATATGGTATCACATTCAAATCACAAAATAGCCACAAAAAAACGACTTTCCTTCCGAAGCTTTTATCCATGAATGTTATTTTGTGATCCTAACACTAATTAATAAAAGCTATCATCCAAAAATATATAATTAATAGTGAACACAGATCCTGAATACAGAATAAACACGAGAAAATAGAGGAATTCACATGTTAGTAGAAGGGACTAACCATAGCTTAAGGCTAATGAGAGGAAAAGAGGTAACTTGTTCCGAAGTTTGAGAAAACCCTGGCAGTCGGCAGTCGGCAGTCGGCAGTGGAGTGATGAAAGAGAGGAATCGTTGCTCAATAAATATCTAGGGTTAGTGGTGTTGAGACTAATTACCTTAACTGCCCCTCAATTTTCTTATAATTACGGATAACTCCCGAATGAAATATTAGGGAAAATTAGAGGACCCATGATGTGTAGGTTACAGGCCCCTCAATTTTCAGTACCATATAATAAGGGCAACGTTTCACTATTGAGAAAGAATAGTAAATTTTTCTATTTTGTTTTACTGTAGCTTTTTTTTATTAAGAGAAAAAAACGACGTCGTTTATCTTACGTGTTTGATACAGTGACTTCGTTGCTTTTCCTCAAATTACGCGGCGCGGAGGATTACGTCATAGAGCCCTCTTTACTCTTTCTCCATTTTTACACGCTACAGTCATGTCTCTCTATTTTTCCACACTAATTCAAAAGTAAAAGTGTGAATTCCATAAATATATGATTGAAAATATGTTTGAAGAAAAATAAATTTTAAAAAATGAAGACCAAATATGTTAACAAATGAATATATTTATTTTTCGATAAATGAGTTTTTATTACCATTTCATTTTTATCATTAAATGATTCTATTATTAATATGTTAGATTGTACTTCAAAATTACATAATCTACCAAATATAATTTTTATAGAGTAATATGTTTTTATGAATTTTTTTTTTTTTAGTAAAAGTAATGTTATGGAGGCTTGAGTATGAGCCTCCATAATTATGGAGGCCTTATGTAATTGTTATGAGTTGAGCCTCCATAATTGTTATGGAGGCTCAAGCATGAGCTTTGATAACATATTATTTTATAAAATTAATAAAAATTTAATAATTTTTTATTTTTAATACTATTATATTTCACCTTTAAAAAAAAATTATAAAAACATATTATTTTATAAAAATTATATTTGATAGATTATGTAATTTTGAAGCACAATCTAACATATTAAGATTAAAATCATTTCATGATAAAAATGAAATAGTAATAAAAACTCATTTCTCGAAAAATAAATATATTCATTTGTTAACATTTTGCTCTTCATTTTTAAAAATTTATTTTTCTTCAAACATATTTTTAATCATATATTTATGGAATTCACACTTATGCTCTTGAATTAACCCCCTCAATAAATTATTATTTAAATGAATCGTAAACATTTTGATTGATATTATTTTTTGGTCAACCAAATGATTACTATATACCTTTTTACGTACATATATAAAAATAATATTTTTATTTAAACTTACTTATGTGCTCAAAAATAAACTTTCTAAAGATACATGGTTGATAGCGTGAAAAAATGGTAAAAGAGATAGTGTGGAGAAATAGAGAAGCATGATTGTAGCGTGTAAAAATGAAGGAAGAGTAAGCTTCTATTATTTTATGTATTTTTATTTTAAGAATATTAAAAAAATTAAGTTGATTAAATGAAATTAAATTATT